TACAATAGACAATTGTAACAAAATAGTATTTGTGCAGCTAAACATATCTAAACATAGAAGAGAAGAGGTACAGTAAAACTAAGGTAAGTCCCACAATCCCATAATTTTATGTGGTCTCTTCTTGACCGAAACATTGTTATGCAGCTCATGACTGTATATTTAAATTTAGTAACTGCCAGATGTGTTGTTTTGCATTTCCTTTTTTTTTTTTGGAGACAGAATCTTGCTCTGTCACCCAGGCTGAAAGGTTGGAGTGCAGTGGCTCCATCCAGGCTCATTGCAACCTCCCCCTCCTAGGTTCAAGCAATTCTCTTGCCTCCATGCACCCTAGTAGCTGGGATTATAGGTGCCTGCCATCATGCCTGGCTAATTTTTGTATTTTTAGTGGAGACAGGGTTTTTTATCATGTTGGCTAGTCTGGTCTTGAGCTCCTGACACAGGAGATCCACACACCTCAGCCTCCCAAAGTGCTGGGATTACAGGCATGAGCCATAGCGGCGACCTGTTCTGCATTCCTATGAGCAATTTAGGAGAGTTCCAGTTGCTGTGATTCGTCATTGGCACTTGCTATTGTCAGGTTAAATTTTTTTTTAAATTATTCTAATAGGTGTTTAGTGTGGTTTTAATTTCCATTTCCCTAATTTGAGCATCTTTCCATTTGCCCATTTACCTTTTGTATATCTTGTTTGGTGAAATGTCTGTCAAATCTTTTGTCCATTAAACAAAATTGGGCACTTTTTCTATTAAGTTTTGAGTATTCCATATATTTTAGGTCTAAGCTATTTATTCATTATGTGACTTGCAAATATTTTCTTCTAATCTTTGGTTACTCTTTTCATTCTCTTAATAGTGTTTTTTTTTTTTTTGAGATGGAGTTTTACTCTTTTCACCCAGGTTGGAGTGTGGTGGCGTGATCTTGGCTCACTCAATCTCCACCCTCTGGTTTCAAGCAATTCTCCTGCCTCAGCCTCCTGAGTAGCCGGGATTATAGGTGCATGCCACCCCACTTGGATAATTTTTGTATTTTAGTAGAGACAGGGTTTCACCATGTTGGCCAGGCTGGTCTTGAGCTCCTGACCTTGTGATCTGCCCACCTCGGCCTCTCAAAGTGCTGGGATTACAGGTATGAGCCATAGTGCCCGGCCAACAGTGTCTTTCAAAGAGCAGACGTTCTCATGATGAAGTCCAATTCTATATTTTTTTTCTTTTATACATCATGCTTTTGTTGTATCTGAGGAATCTTTGGCAGGATGTGATGGCTCAGGCCTGTAATCTCAGCACTGTAGGAGGGCAAGGAGGGCGGATTATTTGAGATCAGGAGTTCAAGCCAGCCTGGCCAACATGGTGAAACCCTGCCTGTACTAAAAATACAAAAATTAGCTGGGCATGGTGGTGCACACCTGTAATGCCAGCTACTAGGAGTAAGGAGTTGGGGTGGAGGTGGTGGGGTTGATGCAGGAGAATTACTTGAACTCAGTAGGTGGAGACTGCCATGAGCTGAGATTGTGCCACTACACTCCAGCCTGGGCAACAGAGGGAGACTGTCTCAAAAAAGAAAAAAAGCAAGCATCTTTGCCTAACCAAAGGTCACAAAATTTTCTCCTTCCTTCATCTGGATTTTATAGTTTTAGGTTTTTTGTTTAGGACTGTGAGCTATTGAATTATTTTTGTATAAGATGTAAGGTATGGCTCAAGGTTCAGTTTTTTGCATGTGGGTGTCCCAATTGTTCCAGCATCATTTGTTGAAAAGATTGTCATTTCTCAATTAAACTGCCTTGGTACTTTCGTTAAAAATCCATTATGGCTCACGCCTGTAGTCCCAGCACTTTGGGAGGCTGAGGCAGATGTATCACCTGAGGTCAGAGGCTTGAGACCAGCCTGGCCAACATGGCGAATTCTAAAAATACAAAAATCAGCCGGGCGTGGTGGCACATTCCTGTAATCTCAGCTCCTTGGGAGGCCGAGGCAGGAGAATTGCTTGAACCCAAGAAGCAGAGTTTGCAGTGAGCCAAGATTGCACCATTGCACTCCAACCTGGACGACAGAGTGAGATTCCATCTCAAAAAAAAAGGGAATAGGTAGTGGGAGCCATACCGATAAAACTATAATTCCCCTCCTCACATATCTTCAGTAAATGGCATTGGAGAAGGATTATATTGTTTAATGCTGTATCTACAACTTAAGTGAAATGTTTTTGTCGTTAGTATTTCTCTGGACTACTTGTTACTGCCTCTCTTGTCTGGTCCTTTTTTGTGACACACCTAGAACAGGTCTGAGAACTTACTGCTTGACTCTACATAATACTGCCATTCAGAGCCTGAGAATCTTTTTTCTGCTACTGCTTTTTTTTCCTTTTGCTCCCTGTACGCAGGGGTGTGTGTCATAGGGCAGGCCGAGTTTCAGTAAGCTCCTAATGTGGATATTGGAAACCCCACCTGCCTGCCAAGTCCTTTTGGCTGTGAGCAAAGTGTATGCTTGGTATTTGTCATTCCTTTGCAGCAGTAGAGCTGCAGGAATGCTGCATGGCTTGTTGGAAGTTGCTTGGTGCCCTTGAGTGAAGTGTGTATGAGGGTGTGTGTAGAGAGGTAAGGGTCTTACAGTCTGTGTGGGAGATATGGGATACTTTCTGGTGTCATGTTAATCATCAGGCAGTATGTTAATCATCAGCATACTGCCTCCTTATGACTAGCACTGTAATAAGGGCTTTTGGAACAGAATAATAAAATATATGATTAAGTCATAGTTTAATAGTCAAACATTTCTAGCTCTGCCACTTACCAGCGTTGAATTGGGCAAGTTAATGTCTTTAAGCCTGACTTTACTTTTCTGTAAAATTGAACTATTAATAGCTATCTGATAGGACTGCTGTAAATATTAAATAAAGAATGTAAGTATTGTGTTTAGCACATGCCTGACTCTAGGTACTATTTCATTTCATGTAGTCATATTATGACAGGTACAATATAAAACAGAAAGTAATAAAAACAGAATAATGTGATAGTACAGTGTATAATCAAATACTTTAATTGTGACATGTAGATTATAAATAGTCTGAGAATTTACAGAAGGGAAAGAACAGTCTTATGCAACCATTTAATATTCCTGTACCTCAATTTTTCCACTGGACATGCTGTAGACAATGCTAGGTGATCTCCCAGAGAATGATTAAGATGTTGAAGCTTTTTTGCGTTTTTAGATGGTGCATATGATGGTGGGAAGGAAGGGAAAAGACTGAGGAACTGTTAGAAACCAAATTTAACACTTAACATTAAAAATTTTTTTCTTATGTAGATGGACATGGCAGCCTTATAGGAAAACTTAAAGCAGGAGATGTGGTGGTTTCCTTCCAGGGAACATACTTGTTTTAGTATTACTCTCTGTTGCCTCACTGGCATTTTAATTAGTTGAAAACTCAAGTTGGTCAGTGGATTGCCTCTGATTGTGAGCCCTTGGATATAATCTGGAGATTAAGTGATTTGTAACCCAAATTATCTCTCTGATCCTCTGGCAAAAATCAAACAGAGAAACAGGGCAGGAGAAGATTTAGTTCTCTTGGACTGCGTGTTAAGGACATGTGGTTTACTCACCATCAGTGTTTCTCTGGATAGAACATCTTTACTCAGAACAGATCTTAGAGACTGCTAACATGGGCTTCCCACCTTTAAGCAGGTTTTCATAACCATATACATGGAAAACACCTTTTAAAGAGTGCTTTATTCACAAGGTCCAAAAGAAACTCTTTCAGTTCCTAGTTTGTTTGTGCTTACTTGGTGATTTGTTTTGTGTTAGCTTGGAAAGTTTGTATTTGGTTTTTATTTCTATCCAGATCAACTTTCTTCTGCTTCAAGTAAATTTCAGAGAATTTTCCCCTGAAATTACATAAGGCTGTTCATACCTTTTTTTTCCCACCTCTTTAGTTTGAGTGTCTTTCTTTTTTGTTACTTATTTTTTCTTTTTTTGGCATTGTTTGCCAAGATTTCAAGTTTATAGTGAGAGGTGAGGCAACGTTGATTTTGGCAGAACAGTCCAAAGCCAGTAGAGTCATTAAGTGACGCAAGCTTTTGATTTTTTTTCTTTCTGTTAAAGCTCTCTGACACAGTTGGCTATTCTAGTCCCAGAAGAAAGAAGAGAGACTTGCTGAAGATCCGGATGGGACAATAGAAGTTTAGGGGCGCATTAAAAAGAAGCAGCAAGAGCATCAACAAAAACGTCAGATGATTCAAGCAGGCTTCTTGGCCTTGTGGAACTTTTTGCAGTTGCTCAGAATTTGTTTTTGGTTCAGAGGATGATGGGACAAGGCAATAGAGAACAAGGAGGGTTATGTGGGATTCTTGTTTATCTGTTTGCCTCTCCTTCCAGTTGGAAAATCTTCAGTCCATAAGAAGCATTATCAACAAGGCTGAAAGATACATCTTACCCTGATCCTGGATGCCGTTGGAGTTGAGGATTACATCCACTTTACCAGGACTTTATGGAGGCCATTCAAGAAAAATAGAAGGAAGCAATACTTAAGGCTTTTTCTGTTAACATTAGTCCTATGCCATGTTACATTTTGGACATTGTTTGAAACAAGTGAGGGAGGGCTCTGTCATCTGGATCTAGGAGGATACCTGAGTCCCTTGAACTACACAGGTGATATTTGGAAGGTGGTAAACTCAAAATCTTCCAACATAAATTCACTGAATTCTGGATTCCCTTCCTTTTTAGAACTTTAGCAGACAGAAATTACCTGCCAAAAAAGGCACAAAAGCTTCTCCCTTTTTTTCAGGCTAAATGTGAACAATAATGTCTTGGAAGAGAAATTATTTTTCAGGGGGTCGGGGTAGTGTACAAGGGATGTTTGCTCCTCGAAGCTCAACCTCCATAGCCCCCAGCAAAGGCCTCAGCAATGAGCCAGGGCAAAACAGCTGCTTCCTCAACAGTGCCCTGCAGGTAAGGGTAATTTCTTTTTGGTGATCTATGACTTTTAATTGCTGATGCTGTATTTCTGACAACTCTTTTTAAATAAAATTCTTGACAGTCTCTGCTTGAGATTAGTAACCTGAGATCATTTTTACATTTATCTGTGTGATCTTAGGCAAGTCACTTTATCTCTTTGAATCTCAATTGCCTCATTTGTAAAAAGAGGGATTAATAATGATAAGAGAAAAAATAATAACTGTAACTACTATTTATATGCCTAAAGGGAGGTAAATGGACCAGGTGATCTTTCTATTTAATCAGCTTTTTTCCTGAGCAATCTCTACTGGTTCCTATTTTTCTTTTCTTTTTTTCGAGACAGTCTTGCTCTGTTGATCAGGCTGGAGTGTAGTGGCACAATCACAGCTTATTGTACCTTGACCTCCAGGGCTCAGGTGATCCTTCTGCCTCTGCCTCCTGAGAAGCTGGGACCACCGATGATCTTGGCTCCCTACAACCTCTGCCTCTTGGGTTCAAGCAGTTCTCGTGCCTTAGCCACCCAAGTAGTTGGAATTACAGGTGTGCACCCCCATGCCTGGCTAATTTTTGTATTTTTAGTAAAGACAAGATTTTTACCATGTTGGCCAGGTTAGTCTCGAACACCTGGCCTCAAACCCCAATGTGCTGGGGTTACAGGTGTGAGCCACCTGGCCTGTTTTCTGTTTTTCCTTTTGAGAGCAAGGTGTGTTATCAACCTAGTTGCTTTTCTCTAGTATAGAAGCAAAATTCTTTCCACAAGTCAAAGACTTTAAGGTATGTTAATCTCATCTCTTAATATTCAGGCTTTTGGCCCACACATTGAATGGAGTTTAGTCTTTGTCCAATTTATCTCCTCCCTTTGAGCTCTCCTGTCTTGGCTCATAACTGGTATCTAGTCATATACATTTGAACAGAACTAGGGGAAAGTAAATTCCCTTAATGTGATTATCTTCCCTACATTTTCCCTTTTACTGTTGCTTGCCACCTGAGTGGTCTTAGAATCCCAAAGCTTTCTATCTGTCTGTCTGCTCTTCCCAGTCGGGCCCATAGCATGTTAAGTTCATCCCTCTTGGCCTAACTTTCAAGTAATTTCTTTCCCTTCTTTTCTGCTCTTCAGTTTAAAAGTAAATAAAATTTGCCACCCAAGATAATTATACTTGGGTAAAATATTAGCTGGACTCCTCAGATGTTGTGAGAAAATGGGTTGCTATGAGAGAAGACAAGATATTTAGTATAAAGAACAATGGTCTTGGGCATTAGGAGGAGACCTGGGTTCTAGTTTTAGCCATTCTGTAGACTAGTCTTATGACCTTGTACAGATAATAGTGTCTGAGTTTCCTCATTCATAATACAAGAATGTTGCCAAGCTTATCTAGGTAATAAAAGTTTCATGGTCTTTTTCAGTTTTTATTTATTTATTTTTGAGATGGAGTCTCACTCTGTCACCCAGGCTGGAGTGCAGTGGCGGGATCTCAGCTCACTGCCACCTCCGCCTCTCGGGTTCAAGGGATTCTCCTGTCTTAGCCTCCTCAGTAGCTAGGATTACAGGCTGTGCATCACCACGGCTGGGTAATTTTTGTGCTTTAAGTAGAGATGGAGTTTTGCCATGTTGGCTGGGCTGGTCTAGAATTCCTGACCCCAGGTGATCCACCCATCTTGGCCTCCCAAAGTGCTGAGATTATAGGCACTAGCCACTGTGCCCAGCCTCTTTCTCAGTTTTTAAGTTTTTATTTGAAAACAATCCTAAAAAATTCTCTGCTGGCAAGCCTATAGAAAAAAATTTAAGTACTTTCCCTAATTATTACCACAGATTTCATGTAGTTGGTGGGGTTGGTTAGGTTTTTGTCCTGGATGATGCATATTCGTTTCCTTTCTTTCTCTTTTCTCTCTTTTCTTTTCTTTCCTTCCTTCTTTTCTTCTTTTTTTTGGCAGGGGTCTCACTCTGTCGCCTGGGCTGGAGTAGAGTGGTGCAGTCATAGCTCACTGCAGCCTTAACCTGCTAGGCACAAGCGAGCCTGCCACCTCAGCTTGCCTAGTAGCTAAGACTACAGACATGTGCCACCACACCTGGCTAATTTTTTTTTTAATTGTTTGTAGAGAGGCCGGGCGTGGTGGCTCACGCCTGTAATCCAAGCACTTTGGATACCAAGGCGGGCGGATCACCTGAGGTCGGGAGTTCAGGACCAGCCTTACCAACATGGTGAAACCCCATCTTTAAAAAACTAAAAAATTTTTTAAAAAATTATTTGTATAGAGAGGTTCTCACTGTAATTGCCTAGGCTGGTCTTGAACTCCTGGGCTCAAATGATCTCCCTCCCTTGGCCTCCCAAAGTGCTAGGATTATAGGCATGAGTCACCACACCTGGCCACATATTAGGTTTTTAAATTACTTTTTATCCCGATAATACTTTTGTGATTTACAAGCAGGCAAAATAAGGCATTAGTATAAATTTGTATGTTTACCCCCTTCTTGGCCATAGTCCCATTTTTATAATTGTTTTTTTCTATATTGTCTGTTTATATTGTCAGTTGAAACTATACAATTTATGATTTTCCATTCTAATTTCCAGTGCCATATATAATACATTGCACACACACACACACATTTCTATATCCATACTTAATGATTGAAGCATTGATGGTTTTAGAGTCCCTATTACAATCATGTTACATGTTGAAAATAATTGTTGCTATGAGCTAATATTCTAACTTTTGGTATCAAAATTGTTTTTGCTACAGATGAGTTGAACCTATAACATTTGATATAAAAAGGTGTTACTGACTTCGGATCATAGCCAGTTTCAAAGAACTTTTAGTGTGTGTATCTTGAGACATAAGTAAGAAGTAGTTCCAGAAGTATGCTGTGATCTGGGGCTCCAGAAAGTATCTTTTTTATATATTATGACATTAAATGTTTTCCTAGCAAGGGGGAGCTCCCTAAGGCATTATGCTATATATTTCTTTTCTTTTTTTTTTTTTTTTTTGGTTTAATAAAGTTTTTTTTTTCCAAATGTACGGTTGGTTGGACCTATTCATGCATCTTTACCAGCAGCTGGAGCTTCTCCACCCTTGGTATTTCTAGTGTAAATTACTTGAGCTATGTGCTTTAAAACCAGTTTGATAAGTCCTTTGCCAAGGAATTCCTGAATGGCTGCCCTGGCCAGGAAGCCTTGAATCTTCAGTTTCTCAGAGACCACAGCTGGGGTTATAAGTTTATAGTTGGGAACTTCCTTGCAGAGTTTGTCATAGGTAGCTTTGTCAAACAAGACTAAGTTATTGAGCTTGTCCCAAACTTTGCCTTTGGACCACTTCTTTTTGACCTTGCCCCCAGATTTGTTCACTGGGTCTTTGTCTTTCTTGGCTGACTTTCCAGCGTCTTTCTTCTTTTTGTCATCCTTGGGCAGCATTGGGAAGCTTAGAGAGCAGCAGCGACCGTGCTAAGTGCAACCGTGCTAAGATGTGAGAGTAAAAAAAAAGCACATCATTTCTTGTCATGTCTTCTTAGGCTCCTCTTAGCTGTGATATTTTCTCATAATGTCCACGTATTTGATGATCTTTGACAGTTTTGAGGAGTACTGATCAAGTTTTTTTTTAATATCCCCCTCGCCTATTGGAATTTGTCTGATGCTTTTCTCATGATTAGACTAGGGTAGTGGGTTTTGGGGAGGAAGACTACAAAAGTGTAGTGCCATTCTCAACACATCACGTCAAGGGTATATACTGTAACATGATTTATCACTCAATATCATATATTTTTTTCATTTCAGCAAAAGTATAGAAATCATTATTTTTTACCCAGTTTACTTAAGGAGGTCACACTTCTTTTAGAAATGTCTAAAAATTGAGAGTTCTAACCAAGACAAAATTCCACACTGCAGTTCCCATTTCTTTTATTTTTATTTTTTTTAATTTTAATTTTTTTATTCTTTGAGACAGAGTCTCAGTCTGTTGCCCAGGCTGGAGTGTAATGGTGCAATCTTGGTTCACTGCAACCTCTGCCTCCCAGGTTCAAATGATTCTCCAGCCTCAGCCTCCTGAGTGGCTGGGACTGGAGGTGCCTGCCACCACACCTGGCTAATTTTTGTATTTTTAGTAGAGACAGGGTTTCACCATGTTGGCCAGGATGGTCTTGATCTCTTGACCTCGTGATCCGCCTGCCTTGTCCTCCCAAAGTGCTAGAATTACAGGCGTGAGCCACTGTGCCCGGCCTACATTTCTAATATAAGCTTTAAACTCTTCTTGCTTTTCTTATGGACAATTAAAATAAATCCTTATTATTCAGCTTTAACCTGTAAATTTCCTCTTCAGGATCACATTTAATGTATGTCATGTCATATTTTCACTGAATTACTTTCACTTTATGTTCAAATGAATATATTTCCCAGAATATGACCATTTATTTTTCTTGTTAGATACCTCAGCTTTTTTCACATTTGTTTTAATATACTGTACTAGAATGAAGTTTCGCTTAGGAATACAGATATCTTCTGCAGTCATTACCTATGTTTGCATGAGCTCTTCACTTTAAAATTAAATGATGGCTTTTTATAGAATAATGAAGTATTTTTCATTTCTCACCAGGTTTTGTGGCACTTGGATATCTTCCGACGTAGCTTTAGGCAGCTTACAACTCACAAGTGCATGGGAGATTCCTGCATCTTTTGTGCTCTCAAGGTAACTACTTCCAATTAGTTTCTTCTCACTACCATTGGGTTACCAAATGGTCAACATCAAGGTGGTTTGGTTAATCAGGATGGTGCTGAAGAATTTGTTACTGAATTATCTACATGTGGTTTAGTGTAAAAATGGACATGATTGGTTTGCTTGCTTCAAAGAATTGGTACTCGGCATGGGTATACTCTTTTACTGAACCTTTTTTGCTTATGCAATTCTATTTGTTGTGATAGGATATTATGCAAGTATACTTCTACTTTTTTTTTGGGGGGGGGGGATGGGGCCTCACTGTCACCCAGGCTGGAGTGCACTGGTGCAATCTCGGCTCACTGCAACCTCTGCCACCTGGGTTCAAGCAATTCTCCTGTCTCAGCTTCCTGAGTAGCTGGGATTATAGGCACATGCCACAATGCCTGCTTAATTTTTTTTTTTTTTTTAAGACAGAGTCTCATTCCATCGCCAGGTGCCAGGCTGGAGTGCATTGGCACGATCTTGGCTCATTGCAACCGCCGCCTCCCTGGTTCAAGCAATTCTCCTGCCTTAGTCTTCCAAGTAGCTGGTACTACAGGCACACGCCACCACACCTAGCTAATTTTTATATTTTAGTAGAGACGGGGTTTCACTATGTTGGCCAGGATGGTCTTGATCGCTTTACCTCGTGATCTGCCCGCCTAGGCCTCCCAAAGTGCTGGGATTACAGGCGTAAGCCACTGCGTCCAGCCAATTTTTATATTTTTAGTAGAGACGGGGTTTTGCCATTTTGGCCAGGCTGGTCTCAAACTCCTGACTTCAGGTGATCTACCTACCTCAGCCTCCCAAAGTGGTGGGATTACAGGCGTGAGCCACCGCGCCCAGCCTGCTTCTGCTTTGAGTATTTATTTGAAAGGCTAATTCTAAATTTTCAATTTAAATGAAGCAACTAGGTGTTTTTAGGGAATTAATTTTGTTTGTTAAAGCTAAGTTTAGCAATAAACTCTTCCTATTGATAAACGCCAGTACAACAGATGACAGGTGGCACATACCTGTAATCCCAGCCTTTGGGAGGTCAAGGTGGGAGGATCACTTGAGCCTAAGAGTTAAAAGCTGCAGTGAGTTGTCATTACACCACTGCACTCCAGCCTGGGCAAGAGTGATACCCTGGCTCAAAGAAAAGAAAAAAAAGGAAAGAAAAGAGAAAAATGTCAGTACTAAAATTTTCCTATTCCCTAGTTTCCCATTACTACATTTACTTGATTCTTTTATATTAGCCCTCTACCCCATGTATTGTTTAGCTTCAAGTTTTTCATTTCTGTTTTTTTCTTCCTCACCTGTCTCCAAGTTTTTCATTTCTGAATATAATGAAACCAGAGATTTCTTTAGAGCAAAGAAAATGGCCTAAAGTGAGAGATTTGCAACCTGGAGATTTTAGGTATGTTGTTAAAGAGAAAGAACTATGATGTGTAAAGGGATAATTCCAACATGTAGTTTCCCTGTATTTTCTTGGTCCAGATATATAATGGATTATTTGTATGTGGATGAGTCTGTCTAATTTCTGAGTAAGCTTCTACAGTCATTTTTGTTTTCATAAAGTCTGAATTCTTAGTTTGTTACAGGGTTGCTTGGATGTGATTGTTATATGTGTAATTTTTAATAGTTGCTGTTACATCCTGAAATAGAAATTGTGACTAAAACTTTAGGAGATTTTCCCAGTTTTATATATATATATATATATATATATATATATA